CGGGGAGCTGGCAGAGGCCGACTCAGGCCTCGCCTCACCGGGAGCCCGCGGAGCGACGGAGCCGGGCCGCAGCGGAACAATGGTCCGCCGAGCGTCGGGCCCCGCTTGCCTGACCGCGGGGCCCTCGGTGCTCCTCAGCCCTGAGGTGAAGGGGCTGTGCCGGGGGTGACGGCCCGCCGTGAGGAGCGAGGGTCCAGCCGAGTCCCCCCACCCCAGCTGCGTGGGTACCGAGGTGCCGCTTCGGTGGCCCCCCGCTCCTCGTACGGCCGCGGGTTGTCGTATTGGGGGCGAAAGCTTGTTTAGGTTGCTGCTTTTCGGCGTTTGCGGAATGAATTCTGGAAACAAAAAGGTGGTGAGAACAATGGAGTAAAAGCCTACGCGTTGCGGGCTGCCGTCACGGGTCTTGGCTCCCCGCTCCGTAAGTGGTTGCAATTAAAAGTTCTCTTAAACTTTGAGAGCGTTATCTTTTGCGACCGATAAGCCAGGAATGAGCAAATCTGTGTATGCGTCTTTTTTTCTGCACTTTAAAAAAGCTATCACTTAATTTTTAAAAGAACTATGGCTGACTCATACAAATCTTTCTTCTCACTTTACCCTCCTCCTTCTCAAACATCTTTACATATCAAATATTGCCTTTTGGCTCAGGCCTCAGAAAACTGACAGCTTTGTAGAGCATCAGCCGAGAAGCCAGACTGCGTTCAGTATGCGCTCGGAATTAATAGTTCTTAAATGAAGAGCTTTGAAGTCTTAAGCATAATTTCACAGGTGCATTTTTCTGCCCGTTTTTGTGATGCCAAGTAGCGAATCTTCTGTTCTTGCTGGCTTAGGTCTCGGAGTATCAGACCTGGATTACTGTCTTAAAATACCTGCACAGTTCTGCTACGGTAGCAGATGGCAAAATATAATTAAGGAGTAATGTCACTACTGTCTCCTCGTGTGATTTGTTTCCTTGTCCTTGCAGAAGGAAAAGTGCTGTAGTCTGCCATGAGGTGACACGCTTCACCTATGGACGGCCTGGTAAGCCCCTCAGACAGAGGGCTGGCAAGGCCTGTCCAGGATTAACGTGCTGCAGACATCCGAGGAGAGCTCCTGCGAGTGCTGCAGCCTTTGAAACAATACTCTCCGCTTGGGCATGCTTGAAGCCAGCTCAGGGAGTTTTGGGGGTGAAGATGACCGTGCAGCAGCACCACCTCTTGCGAGTAAGGGACGTTGGGGTGCAGGGGCCGGGCCCTGGGCACCCCAAGGCTTCAGCCCGGCCCTCCTGCCCTGCTTTTTTTTTTCAGCAGGAGTTTCCTCGTTTCCCTCCCCCAGGCCCACAACTGACAGTGTGCTTTAAGTTTGACCACTTCCTACAAGAAATAATGTAGATACACCGGTGGCAGCAGAGGTAGTATTCAGTGTACATTGCATCTTATTTCAGCTAACCTTCTGGAGTTTTCTTGTGCTGCGTCTTTTTCAGGCTTGCAGTAACAATTCCAGCAGCATAACATGCTCAACTCTTTTTTTTCCCCATACATATAACTTCAGCTAATGTTGTAAGGATGCTAGCTGCACTTGAGATCTGAGTTTGGGTTCTTCTTAACCTCC